GCGTAGGCTTAGCATAGGTATCTGGCTGGAGCCCAGAGGGTAGTGATCAGTGGTGCAGAGTCTGGTTGGAGGCCTGTAGCTAACGGTGGCCCCCAGGGGTCAGTCCTCGGTCCAGCCCTGTTCAATTTACTCATGAATGGCTCTGTGCATGAAGGCACAGAGTGCTCCCTCAGCAAGTTTGCTGATGATATGAAACTGGGAGGAGCAGTTGACACCGCAGGGGGCTGTGCTGCCATCCAGAGGGACCTGGGCAGAGTGGACAACCGGGCACTGAGGAACCTCATGAAATTTAACAAGGGCAAGTGCAAGGTCCTGCACCTGGGGAGGAAAAAAAGCAGACACTAATACAGGCTGTGGACCAACCTTCTGGAGAGCAGTTCTGCAGAGAAGGACCTGGGCGTCATGGTGGACAACGAGTTGACCATGACGCAGCAGTGTGCCCTCATGGCCAAGAATACACTGGGGTGCATTAAGAAGAGTGTTTCCAGCAGGTCGAGGGAGGTGATCCTGCCCCTCTACTCAGCCCTGGTGGGGTCGCATGTGGAGAACTCTGTCCATTTCTGGGCTCCCCAGCCCAAGAGGGGCTACTGGAGAGAGTCCAGCACAGGGCTACAGGGATGATCAGGGGCCCGAAACACCTGCCCGACGAGGAAAGGCTGAGAGAGCTGGGCCTCTTCAGCCTGCAGAAGGCTGAGAGGGGATCTAATCAGTGTCTATAAGTACCTCAAGGGAGGCAGTGAGGAGGATGGTACTGGCCTCTTTTCAGTGGTGGCCACTGATAGAACTAGAGGAAACAGCCACAAACTGAAGCACCAAAAGTTTCACAGGAACTTAAGGAAAAATTTCTTGACAGTGAGGGTGATAGAGCACTGGAACAGGTTGCCAAGACAGGTTGTGGAGTCTCCTTCTCTGGAGATCTTCAAAACCTGCTTGGACGCAGTCCTGTGCCACGTGCTCTAGGTGACCCTGCGTGTGCAGGGGGGGTTGGACTAGATGATCTCTAGAGGTCCCTTCCAACCTGAAGGATTCTATCATGCTATGATTCTATGATTCTATGATAGGTAGGCCTAGGATAGGTTTGGGATAGGTAGTGGTGGTTCAGGCTGCCAAAAGTCCTTGAAATGAGTGCAAGGCACCACCTGGTAAGTGTTATGACCCTGTGACTTGCAGTCAAAGAGATTTTCCCTTCGTGCTTCTTTTGCTGACACGCAGGTGTGAGGGCGCAGGCCAACACGATCAGGAGCAGCGACGGCATCACGACGCCTCAGGTGCTTCGCTGCAGCACGGCCCCCTACGCGGAGCTGCCCTGCAAACCAACCACAAAGAGGGCTTGGGTGGCTGTCGCCACCCACCAATGCTCTGTAGTGGCAGGAGCTGCCCGGCCTGCGGACACTGAGCGCCAGGGCCAGATCCTCCCCCGCCGCCACCGCCCTTGTCGCTGCTCCCCAGCCTCCCCCTGCCTCCTCCGCAGCGGGAGCACTCAGCCCAGCCCACCCTCGGCCCCGAGCGCAGCCCTCCAGGGACACCCCGCACACAGGCAGGCCAGCCCCACACTCTGGCCCCCAGCCCTGGCTGCCACCTCCGCGCAGCACTGCCCCCGCCAGCAGGATGCTGTCTGCGGCTGCCCACAAGCTGCAGCTGCCGCCCTCTCCCCAAGCTCCTGGTGCGCTGCGCACGTTCCACGGGCTGCACAGGACCCCTGGAGCTCTCTGCGCATGCGCACACACCCATGCTATGGCAGTACCGACCTCCTGTCACCCGATGCCAGCAGCAACCGTGCCCGAGTGCTCTCCGCACACGCATTCCCCCCACCCACAGTAACACCATTTTTCCCACACGTGATGGCAGCAACAAGCCAGGCGGGGTGCAGGGCGCATGCGCTCCCATGCCACCGCAGTACCGGGCTTTGGGTGCAGGGGGCTGCAGGGAGCGCTGCGCAGCACAGGGTGCATGCGTGCCACCTTCTCCCTGCTCTTCTTGACGGAAAGGCGCGGGACGCCAGCGTGCGGTCCACAATGGTAGGACAATTGCTTAAACAGTGATTGCAAACTAAACAACTATTATTGTTTTAAAATTAAGATTACGCAAAGCCCGAGCCCCGCTTATCTACAGATGTAGGTGCATCCACCTCTTTCCTGCACTAAAGCAGGCAGCTTCTCCAAAGCCAGTGGCAAAAAAAGGTTTGCAGCCCACACTGAAACTGCCGTTGCCAGGGGCTTTACAGCGCTCTGGCCAACTGTCAGAACATGCAGGCACGTCCCTTTTCCATTGCAGTAGCGGGATTAGAGTGGGCCGGGCCAGCACTGAGCGCCACAGATGTTGGGCACAAGCGTGGCTGATGACCGCAGCAGGACCCGATTTCTGGCACTGGAGGGCACTAGTGAGGGCGCCGCAGGGCACTTCGCATGTGCTCCCATCCGCACGGTTGCAGCACCGACTTTGGGACTTGTCATGGCAGCAGTGAGAGCACCGCAGCACTGGGCATGCGGCCCCCGCAAAACCGCTGCTGTTGCAGTACTCACTTGTGGACACGCCATGGCAGCAGCGAGCGTGCTGGAGCGCAGGGCACAATGCGCTTCCCCCAGCCCCTCTCGAATCCCCCCACACCACTGCGGTACCAGCATTTGGGCACGGGAGGCAGCAGGGAGCGCTGTGCAGCGCAGGCCACATGCCAGCCCCTTTTGCCCACAGTTCTGCTTTTCCTGAAGTGCAAGGGCTTGCGCGCTTTTCAGACCCTCCAGATGTTCCTTTTTCTCGGTTTTGCTTTGTTTTCTGTTGATATTTTTTCAAAAGAGTGACCGCAGTCTAACAGCTGCCTGTGTTTCAGTAACAAGAACCTGTGCTTTGGTGTTGATGGGAACGTAGGGCGCATGCGCACCACCTGCCTGCAGTTCCTCTTCTTGGACCCGTGAGGACGGCACTGAGCGGGGGGCTTGGCAGTGCATGTGCGCAGCTCCTTCGCCCGTGCGGTTCCACCGCCCGTGCCTGGGATGGCAGCACTGACTCAAGGGTGCCCATGCGGCCTCCCAGCATTTGGGTTGCAATCTGCGCCAGGTTCACGGCAGGTCCCCGAGGTGACCTGAGGGTCCCCGGGGGCTCAGGGGTTGCTGAGCTTGTAGGTGTCATTGGAGCATCACTTGGGAAGAGAGCAGCTCGGGAGTTGGTTGGCAGCAACATGGACAAACCATGCCCAAACATGGCACATCGAGACATCGCCAGCGCTGCTCATCCCCACATGGTTCTTCAGAGCTTACCTTAAAATAGATTTGTCCCTGTCACCTTTCCTTGGTGCGTGGGCCGCCTCCACCGTGGGCAGTGTCACATGCTGCAAGGTGTAGTGAGTACTCGTGGATTTGCCTTCTTTTATGCACTTTTTGGAGCCGCTGGCTGCCAATGGGGGAGCAAGCCCTGAGCAACAGCTGTGAGCACATATGCACGTGTGCACGTGCATGCACACATCCACAAGTACACGCATGCACCCACATGCACATGCGTGCACACATGTGCACATGCCACTGGGGCCACCCGGACCACACTTTGCTTTGCAGCCCCAAGGCGGCCAGGGGGGAAGAAGCAGCAGCGGGGGCCGAGCACAAGGGGGGCACTCCCAGCTGGAATTGCCCTGGGAACAAATGGGCTTCAGGAATCCCTCTGCGGCCATCAGCATTGCGACTGGGGGAAGCGCTGGGGACAGGGAGCCTCCCAAATCCCATGGGGGGCATCAGGGTGGGGGGGGGGGTTAAATCCCATATATCTCTCCCACGGCAGTAGCATGCTCGCCACCCTTCCCCATGCTTCATTCTTCTGCACTTTGCCCGTAAATGACTTTAATCTTCCCAAGCTCACCAAGGAAATCTCCTTAACCACCTGGAGCCTGTGCTTGGACTGGGGATGAGTCCAGCTGCAATACATCCCTGCGGAGCAGTCACATCTAGAGGCAGCAAGGAGCCAGCGGCCGCTTGACTGAATAACTCTTGCTGGCTGCTTGGGACCTATTTTAAACCCATCACACAGTGAGGGAGATGCCATCACTCTTGGAGGAGCTGGCACTGCAGGGGGGCCCAGTGCCCATCCAGGGGACAAGGGCATCCCCAAAGGTCAGCTCTGGGGGATTATTCTGAGCCCCTGCAAGGGAAAGGCCAGAGAGAAGCCCTGGAGCACCATGCTCAACCCCATAGTAGACACTAGAGAATCCACCTCCCCAGGAGCCAGGGCCTTGGGGCGGAAGCGGCGGGCAGGCGGAGGCGCTGTGGACGTATGGAATGGTTTTTATTACTGTTTTAATCTCACAGTCGGTAGCATTACATGAGATAAAGCACTGGACAGGACTGGAAAAAAAGGCCTCTGGAGACAGCATGCAAACAGTGCGATGAGTTTAAAGCAAAACAACCCCAAAAAAAAGCGGCTGGGGCCGCGGGCTGGGGGCAGCGCCCCCGACCATCACTTCTGCCGTCGGCGCTTCCTCAGTCCCCACGGGTCCGGATCAGCGGTGCAGGGGCTGCTGCGTTTTATCACTTGCTTCCCATCATATCCGTCCTCTCACCTCCTTTTTTTTTTCTTTTTTTCCCCTTTTTTATTTTTTTTTCTTCTTTTAATTACATTAAAAAATAAGATTCGTACTTTAGTAAAACACCCTGGCACTCAGTGGTGCCTGGCTTGAAATAATAAAAACAAAAAACAAAAGGACGAACAAATTGAGAACAACAAAAAACACTCCCCAAAAAACCAAAAAAAGGGAAAAAAAGTTCAGAAGAAAAAAAAATAAAAAACACAAAAAACAAAAAACCTGACCCAAAATAATGGGACCGATTTGGAAGTCTGGAAGTGAGCGCAGAGGGTAGGATGCTCCATGTCCCCCCTCCTCCGCCGCCACTGCTGCCGCTTGGGGCGGGGCCTCCCCCCGCTGCACACGGGGGGGGGGG